CTCCCTCCCTCCCTCCCTCCCACCCATGAAACGCACACGTGTGTATTTCTGTGCCTGTTGCTCAAGGTTCTATCTAGCAGAGTACTGATGTACAGCTGTGCGCGTGTAGTAAAAGAGACACCTGTGTTTGCCTGTTCATGTACGTTTTGCGAGGGGATACATGCCCAGGTTGCAATCAGCCACTCGTAAACACAGTGTCGATTGCAAGTGCGGTGGATATCCAAAGCGAGATAGGCGGAGCATGGCGGAGCAGAGGTTAAGTTTTCGGAAATGCATGCGCGGCGCGGAAATTGCCACAATGGCCCTGCGCACGACCATTTGCGAGATTCAACTTGACCTGATGCAGGTGGGTGCCGAGCGACATGCTCGCACTGGCCTCGGATTCCGATGGCGCTCGTGCAGTTCAAGCACAGCGCGTCAAGGACATCTGGTCAAGATCGAGTTTCAGTCAAAGTTCGTGCTGCCAGACGGGGTGCCATTCTCAGCAGAGTGAGTATGAACAGCTCGTCCTGCTTGTTGCAACTAGCCAAATAGCTAGCATCCGTCATCCTCAACAGTAGAGTTTGCAGGGTCCAAACTTCCCGTTGGAATGACGCATGTTGGTTGCTTCTGGATCGCATCGAATCGGGATCACCAGATCACCACTGCTTTTGTTGCTACTTTACGCATGCTTCGTCATGCTCATTGGCTGCTTTCAACAGTGTGCGGATCTGTCTGTAAGCCACCTGAGCGATGATGCAAGGCCGAGCGCGTTCCAAAGTTGTGGGTTCGCTGCTCACAAGCCTGTGGACTGGTGCAGATTGCATTGGCTCGCCAAGCTTCACGTTGTTGAGGCGCGCACCGTGCTGCGCGGCTGCCCGGTGCTCTTGCTTGTCACCGACATCCTGTTTCTTGCAGCTACTTGGCGGAAGCTTACATGCATGGCTTTGGTGTGGCAAGTGCTGTCGAGTCAAGTGGGTCCCAGTCATTTTGGTCAGGTCTATTTGATGTCACGTGGAGAGTGCTCCTTCTTGCTGTCACTCCAGAAGGCAGCGAGTTTCATTGGCAGTGCGGTATGTCTCGCGCAGGTATGGCAAAACGATTACAATCCTCTATTTCATTACCGTGTTTTCCTGAGGTCGTGCGAAGCAGGCAAAAGCAGTTCAAGTATACAACGCAGAGAGAGCAGATTTGTTTGTGATATGAGGCTCTTGGAATGCTCCTGGGCTGTTGTTCACAGTGCCCTCGGACTGTATCTACAAATGTTTACCGGATGTTGCCCGCATGACACGCGCGAAGAATCATGCCGGGGTCAGGTACAAATCTGGCACGACGGTGGAGTGAGATCTGTTTCACGCTACTTGACCATTTGCAGGGCTTTCGCTTGACTGACATTGTGAGCCCAAAGAAGTGCTTGACTTTTTGTTTGCACACATCAGGCCTTCAGCGAGCATCCAGGAAACTATGCTAAGTTGCACAGCATTGCACTTGTATTGCACCGTGTTTCGGGCTCAAGATGCTTGCACATGAGTTGAGCTGCAGCTAGGCTCAACAAACAAGAAGCCGAATGCCAATGTAGTTCCGGAAATTGTTCAGCTTCACCACGCTGACAATCACGGCTCACATGGACTCAAAATCTAGCCTTCCTGAAACGCCCCAGCAAGCTTGCACCTGCGGTCGTGGCTTGTCGCGTCCTTGGGAGTGCCGGGGCTAAGTCTGTGAATTAAGCGCAGAATTTGCCAGGCCCTGGCTTGTCTTCACTCAGACCTGCCTAGGCAATGTGGCGGCTCAATCGGCCCAGAATTAATGGCCGTAGCCCTGCAGGTGTGCCAAGTTGCAATCAAGCAGTCACTTCGCGTTTCATGCATGAGAAGGTGGACAACAGAGACCGTCCTGGTTGCCAGCAGCTCCTGCCATCTTGTGCCGCAACATGCTCGCCCGGCTCCTGCGCTTGGCCAGGTGGGCCGCCTGGCCCTTGCAACAGCTGTTTGGACATTGACTTGCGGAGGCGGAGGACAACGGGCTTTCATGATCTTGACTTCGAGACTGCTCCGTCATTTTCAGTCCAGGTGCCTTCACATCTGGCTTTCGGCGTGTCTGCGCTAGCTTCTCAGGGCACGTGGCCGTTTCCCAGACCTGCGGCATTTGAAGCATCACGGCAAATCACAGCCGCCCAGGACGGCGTAGTCCCACAGGCCGCGAGCCGCGAATTCGCGCATGACTTTGGGCCTCGGATCCGACGAAGGTGCGGCTTTGCGCTGCAATTAGCGACACTTTCGACCCATGGACTGCCCGGGTCTCAGTGCCTCTTGTCCTATATGTGCACGTTTCCATGCTTTGGAGCTGACACCGAAGAAGCCATAAGCTAGAAGATGCTATGAGCTCAAACCGCTCTTGATGTCACCTTGACGACCACAATTCGCCGTCCCATGCAACGCGCAACTGCACCTGCCTTTGTCCCCGCTCGTGTTGTGCCACTTGTGCACAGAGTGTGACTGCTTCGCCAACGACCGGCCAGCTCTGAACTCACTAAGGTTCTGGAAATCTCTCCAGATGCCGGAGTCAATGAGGACAGCAACAACACATGTCTACAGGAATTGCATCTTCCGGCGTAACACTTCTTCAAGCTTGCAGGCCCGGAAAGCCTACAGAAAGTTGGCTGCAAAGCTTGGGCCTCTCCACTGGAGCCAGAGGTTAGCTGGTGCACTCGATGGGATGGTGCTTTGGTCAAGGTATCACCCAGATGTGGACTCATCTGATGAAGCTACGGCCCGGCAAGCTTGCATAGACTTGCAAAGACCGCAGGTCGCCTCGTGAATCCTTTGCGATGTGCCGGGCAGGACATGTTTCAGAAAGTGGTCCGCGCGCTCGCTATCATCACTGGCGAGGCGGCTTGGTCCGCTCGGCCGTGAAATATGGAGGCAGGCGAGTGGCGAGTGCGGTTCTAGAGGACAAGGAGCTTGATGAGACCACTCTGCTGACCAATGCCGCGAACAATCTGAGTGCTACCCCTAGTCATACTTACGATATGCGTCTTGTCACGGAAGGGGCGGGGAGTTGATACATCTGATACATCAGAGCCCGGTTTTTGTAGTGAAAGCTGAGTAGCAGGCGAACTTTTCAGAGACTGCCTCCTCTGTAGCTGCATGGGCAATGTCTTCCATGTCTGCATGCACACGTAATAGGAGGTGGGAGCACTGGCAAATCACATGTTCAGTGGCATCTGAGCAGTCGGACAGACTACAGTAACCGCGAAGCAGTGTCGTGTGAAACTCCTGTCACACTCCTGTAAGGTTCAGCATGGTTCGGGTCATTTTGTGTATCTCTCCTTGTCTTCAAACCTGGCATCAGGGCCCACAGCCGTTTGGCTTACATGTGGTGTAAGCAGTCTTGCAAGCCACGGCCTAAGGTTAGCGTTCATCACATTGCTGCCTTTTAATTGTGGGTGGGCTGAATTGCGGGTGGGTCCGTGACATGATGCCTGCTAAGACGTAAGGATTGGTTGAATGTGGGTGGGTCTGACTGAGCTTTCGTTGTTTATGGCCTGTCTATGCCTGTCTCTCAACCATGCGGGTACTGCAGCAACTGCAGCACCGAGGGGACAACATCGAGTTCCAGAAGGAACGCATTGAGCGGTTGAAGCAGCAGGCCGTCACGCCTTCTTGCCGTTTCCGCTTGCTTGCTGGAACTGCGGGCAGAGTTAGCGTCTGGATGTCACTAACGGGTTTTGCACAGTCGGATCAGCCTGACAGGTCCCTTTGCTAGATCCCCTCCCTTTTCCAAGCACTCTTCCACATCCGCTCTTTGAGCGGAAGCTTGGGGGAGGCAGCTGAAGAAGAGAAGCGGGTCAAGACGATGGAGGACGACGCTGACCCCTGACCAGAACGGAGCACAGAGGAGTCCGAACGGCAGGAACAGCAGAAGAAGGCAGAAGAGAAACGAGACCAGGCCGAGACACGTGCACTGCACAGCAACATGCCGTGACGGTCGTGCGAGCAGGTGAGTGCAGAGCTTGGCCTCCTGGGTGGAGGGTTGTTGGGGCTCGTGGCTGGTGGACCAACAGGCCATGCTCTCAGATGTGACCGGCAATGAGGATGTGAGGCTTTGGACGCTTTTAGGAAAGTGTAGCTTGACAATGGCACGACTGCTGCATGGCTGCTGTCCCCTTGTGAGGTTTGCTGCTTGGTGCCATCGCTGGCATTGTTTTGAGCAAGCGAAACGACAGCCTTGGGAAGGCTTGTGCGGGTTGGAGGGCAAGAGAAGATCAGAAGTTCCTGTTTGTGTGCACTGCATATCCAAGGTCATCCGTGGCACAGGCACTTTCACACGAGGAATGGTTGATGCTGTCAACAAAGCTGCCAGCAATGACGGCGCGGCACCGTAGGATGCTGCCCTGACAATTCAGGAATATCAGAAAGTTCGTCGGAGATTTCGGGTCTGTGCTAACTGCTTCGGTTTCCATGCAGCCGATGGACAGCAACACTGTTGCAGCTAAGCTAGGGGCTAGTTGTGCGACTCACAGAATGCGTGTTGTGTTCTCCTAGCTGCCGATTCGCTAGTCAGTCTGGAATCTATTAGAAATCAAGTAGCATGCGCATATGCAGTGGCGTATCTATACGCCATAACTAGTTTTTAAAATCTCAGTTTCCAGGGCCTTGTCCTCTTGTGGAGAGCAAGCAAGGATCCTGCAGGCGCAAGCCACTTGACTTGAGAGCTGTTTTGGGGCGAGCACATGCAGACATGCAGTGCAGTGGTGGACTATGGGTGTGGCTGTGTGGCTCGTGCAATTGCCAGCAAATTCGGATGGGACGTGCTCTTTGCCAAGGTGGAAAAACGCTGTCTTGATGCTCGCTGTGCATGCTCGCTTGTGCGCTTTAGATCCCGGGCGGCCCGGGCTCCAGCTTGGGGGTTCGGGGGTTGGGCGTTTCAGTCAAGACTTCAAGGGCCCTCGTGGACCCTCGAGAGATCTCGAGAGCGATCGTTTGAAGTTCTCGGAGCGGCCTGCTGCCCACTCTGCCAATGCCCCATGCCTCCCCATCTCGGGCACTGAGTTCCGTCGGACCGTCCTGGCTGCATCTGTGGTGCGCCGTGTGCAAGCTTGCTCTGAATTGTCGAAGGCAACTGACTCTGGTGTTGGTTTTAGCCGTTTCAAGCTATCGAATAAACGTCGCGCTCTGACTCTTTCCCACCTTCAAGTGCCTTGCACACGGTTGGTTCGTTTGCCTCGGAGCCCAAGGCGAGCAGCCACAAATTTCGCTTTTGGACTGCGGTCTCATGACCACAGCCGGCAGTCGTAGCAGGATCATGAATCAGACACCGGAAGGAGCAGTATGCATAACCTATTGCCAATTGCGAAGACACATTCCATGCAAGCCCGACCTCAGCAGCGTCTTTCGTAGCAGGTATATAGGCCCAATGTCATTAGTATGATCTTGTTAGTATGACCGGAACAATGTGTTGCCCTGTGGCGGTTAGATCTGCCAGCTCCATGCACTTTGCAGTATCAACGGCCCTTATCAAAGAACTACTGCCACTCTATGCTGTTTAGCTTATGCTGACACATCACTAATGGGCGACAATGGAGCACTCACTCCAAGATGCTGGGCCCTAAGCCTGAAGCTCGAGCTTGGCTGTCAGTTTGTTCAGCATGATTTGCAACCAGCTTTTGTCAAGGAATCCCACGGTTTACTGTCCTTTGATCGAGTTCGGCCACGGTGGAGTTTCAAATAGTTTAGAGACTGATAGCAGGGTGTGGCCGATTAGGTCGGGTTTCAGGCTGGTGGTGGCCGACAGAAGACAGAGGCAACGGCAGAGTGGAAAGGGAAAGGGTAGGGCCTCGCGTCGGTTTGAAAGGCACGGACCGGGTCAGTACAGGGGTCGCGGTGGCTGAAATCGAGGAGGGTGATGCACGGAGAGGGTTGCCGGATCACAGTGTGACACGGCATGATGGCCGCAGCAGCAAAAGGGCTTGGCCGAAACTGGTCAACATGTTGAGGTTATCCTGCTGCTGCCACCTGGCCTGGCCAACTACACGTGGAGGTGCATTCGTTCGAGGGCTCAGCGCTGAGGTCAGCTGAGCTCTGCCGAGGTTGCGTGGAGTCCACACACAGAGAGCCTCCGACGCGGTCCTCAGCCAGTTGCCCCAGGCCAGCGCGGCACCGTACGGCACAGCAATCACCACGACTAGATTCCTGCAGCCACCATGCATGCGGTGTGGCCACCGCTTGCCCGTACTATACCTTCTTAAATGCTTCCGAAGACTCTAAGAGGGCTTCCTAAATTGAGCCTTGCGCCTGGCACATTCAGAGTCAACGACCGTATCTTGGCTTTCCGTGTCAATCTGAGCACTCACCACAGTCAGAGTCTTCCATCGCTCATGCTCGCAGCACGCTGGACACTGACCGCACGGATCCTTTTCGTCTCGCGCCTGTTTCCTTCATGGTCGTCGTGTAGCTCTCCGGTCGCTCCCGTCTCAGAGACCTTTTGGAGCTTCAATGTTCGCGGAAGATAGCATGCCAAGCAAAGTGATGCATGCCCGAGCTGGCAAAGCCTACGCCTGCGCACCCGAATCAATGCAGTTGCTTTTCCGGTGAGAAGCTTGTGTTGTGATGTTGTGAGTCCGGCCGAGCCGTGTGGTTTGCAGCGTCTTTCTGTCGCAGTCCGCACATCTGGTCTTAGCCAGGACTGGCCCTCCACCGCGGACGGGACTCGCGCAGTCTGCATAAGCGTGACCCCACCCCAGCTGCGAGAAGAAGGGGCACTTGCGTGAACAAAGAGAGCTTGTGCTTGGCCTTATGTCAGGAGCGGACACTCTGCCATCGAGATTCAGAATGCCTTGCATATCATCCTCAGGCCGGCAGATGGCAGAGGGCAAGCCCTCCCTTCCTACTTTCTCGCCCCTCGCCGCTTCCTGTTCTCTCTCAGAGGCGCTTGGAAGATGTAGTGCAGCCCTCAACGCTCAGTGCAGAGACGCTGTGTCTGCTCACATTCCTTGGCCGAGGAGACTCGAGATGGTTTGGGGCCTCCAGCTTCTGGGGGCAGTGCCAGGCATGTATCGGCATCAGCTTTCTTTGTTATGCTCTTCCCCCGATCAAGTCCGATCATACGGTCATGGGAAGGCACTGTCAAAGCTGAAGAAATGACCAATGGTGAAAATAGAGCGTGAAAGTGTCGTCCCCTGCCAGTGGACTCTTGGGCCTTGCCGTGCAGCTGACGCCTTCGATTGCCGTGGAGCTGCGGCAGCGGCACGGGAGCCGACTGAAGGACCGAGATGGAAGTGGCTATCTTTGAGCCTTGAGTCCATGTTGTTCTGCTCGGAAGAGGCCCTCTGCCGCAGCTGTCCAAGCAGATTGAGGGCCTCGTTGGTGCAGGGCCTGGCCAAGCCAAAGCTTCTGCATCAGTTTGTTTGTTTGCTTGACAAGTCCGCAGCACAGCTTAATGCAATTGCAACATGAAGCAAGTCTTGTGGTTCGTGATGGCCGAACAGTGTACTGGTCTTAAACAATTGCCACGACAGCTCCGTGAAGCGAGTGATATTGGCGAGTTTCTCCGCATTGTCCAGCAGACCCGATTGGGCACACGGAGGCGTCGGGGAACTTCATAGGCACAGCAGCTTCCTCCCAAGCTCGCCCGTTCCCGCTTGAAGTTTCCGTCTTCCAAGATGGTCTAAGAACGCCGGCCACATTAACGGACCAGGAAAGAACTGTGAACTGAATGCTGCGCGCCTGACGCAAAGTCTGTGCAGCCTCCCTCAGGAATTTTAATGAATTTTATGTTTGGCTGACGAGTTTCAACATGGAGCCAGTCTTGTCGTTGAAAAGTCGAGTTCACCACATGCCACTTGACATCATCAGCCCAGATATATCTTTGGTCACTTCACTTTCAGAGGCAGTAGGATGCAGCGTAACAGTACATTCATTTGATCAAATGATTGAAATGCTCAAACGGGGGCTGTATTGACGCGGCGACTACTTCGCAGACGCCGGCACAGAAATCAGCCCTGCCCGGAGCTTGGGCCCACGGCTTTCAGGGCAAGAGCCAAGGAGATTTACCCGACCGACCCTTGGATCGAAAAAGCCGTCTCCATGACCCGCAATCCCTGACTAAGCCCCGTGAATCACCACGAAAGGGCCAAGCTGAAGCACGGGTTTCAGCACAGCAGGACACGGGTGTGTGTGTGTGTGTGTGCAGCTTGGAAAAGAACATGCTGAGCAACGTGGCAACCAGCTCGAAGGCAAACGTGATAATCCTGGCCACTGGCAGCTGCTCAACGTGGCCAACTCGGCAAGGATAGCCGTGGCAGGGATACAATCATCAAAAGGTTGCGTGGGTGAGGCACCAGATTCGTTTTGAATTCGGTAGTGCTAACTTCCAGTTAAAGTTCCGTCCAACAGCATATGCTCTGGCAAGGGTTGTCCAAGGCAAGATCTGTTGCCATCACGCAGCGGGGCAGATGCATACCCACACAAATCTCACGGGCTAAGCTACTGAAGATATCTTCTCCACCAAACATGATCTTTTGACAGGGCTGTTGTCCATCGGGTCGGATACCATGCGCCACTGACTTGTCCGGGACCACATCCGGCGTGGTGCTCATGCCGGCCTCTGTTGTCAAACCCGTACGCCTCGCCACCTCGGAAGAAAGTCAATGTGATCATGCAGCTCCGTGACCGTGAAAAGCGACGGCTCTTCGGCTTGATCATACTTGCTCCAGGTACCGTCCGCAAGGGCAGAAATCACTCAACGTGGGGAAGAATCGGGAGAGGTGGAGGCGGCGAAGGCGGCAATCCACTCTTTGCGGTATTGCGCAACAACTGGTGGGTATTAGGTATTCTTAATGATGTGTTGGGTTGTGTCGGTGGGCGATGTTTGTGTACATGTTGCTGCCAGCTGGCACTTCTTGCAAGTGCTACATTACATCCAGCTTGTATTGGTGTTCGCGCAAGATTGATATGCGATTGGGTGTAACGGGCGTCTTATCATCGCTGAGATGTTTCCGGTGCAGTCTTCGCGTGCGCGAGGGCAAAGCCATTTCAAGCGATTTTGGAGCCCTGCATGCCCTAAGAGGCCAAGACCATGTAAGCGCAGAGTGCAGTGTCAACGTGGCATTAAATACAATGTCAAGCGGCATAGTTGACACGGTGGGCACGAATCTTCATCCAAGGTGCCAGATACCGGATGTTTTGTCTCACAAGAAAGAGGCTTCCTAGCACGTCCACGCAGCAATCATCGCGCTGTGCTGCTAAGGTCGGGTACGATCCGCCGTTGCTGCTTCTGTCAGGATTGCCAGAGGCAGAGAACTATGATCCACGTGATCTTCGGCTGAGCCGCTGAGCCCTGCTAGTCTCCCACAGTCATGAGCCGAAAGTAGGATCCGAAGCGCAGAACTGTTGCCTGAAGGCGCTGCACGCGGCCCTTCCGCAGGCGGGCGTTTCTAACGTCATGACTTGCAGCCCATCCGGGTAGCTTCATTATGACAAGAATTGACAAGAGATATGTACAACGTCCGTCGCAGGTGAGAGACATGCTGCAGCTGAGAGGCCCAGGTCTCGTGAGCGTAACTTTTCATGCTTTGCTTGGCTAGCATCTGCCTGACGTGGTCTGACACATCCCCAGCGATCATGCTTCTGCTACAAGTCAATTCTATCTCTGCACCTGACGCGAGAGCTTTCTGTTTGGGAATGCCATTGTTTATGTATTGCGAACAAGAAAGGCTGGCATGCAGAGTTGCGGGATACTGCCCGCATCTTGGATGGTACTTTCCGGCTTGCAATGTCTTCCAAAGTGTCTTCCAACTAACTCAGTGATGCGAGCTGTCAGTGGCCACGTTGGACGGATCGAGGCACCATCGGGGCAAACCATGGCTTCCGGCTGCAAGCCCAGAATGTCGTCTTGAGTTGTCATTGTCGGTCATGGTTCCCCTATGAAGAACTCGCAGTCGCCCCCTCAGGTGTTGCGCGGTCTGTGCCAGCGATACCTACCGTGCCCGTCGGCGATTACAGCCTTTGGGTATGGCTCAAGAGCCTGGACGGAGGAGACCTCGCAAATCTTCTGCGGTTTGATCCTCGTGCTGGGGGCTGACCCATCCACACTTTGCGGTCAAACACAGAGCTTACAATGCATTGATTGGCTTGGGTCAATGTTGCGAAATGTTGCTTGCCAGAGTCCAGGAAATGCCTCCTCCCCCCAGCACATTTGCCAATCCCTAGTCGGTTTCGTTGGGTGCAGCTACCGACAGATTTAACACAAGGCTTACTCGTACGATCTGGTGCGGGCTGCGATCCCGGGCAGTGCAACTCTAGAGCTGCAGTTGCGCGAGGGCGAGGATTCCTTTTAGAGGCTGGAGCTGCTGGAGCCCATGCTTCGTCTCAATGCGAACTCTAAACAGGAGTCGGAGAGATGTTGGTGTACTGCGACCGCTTGAACGAGCTTTTCCAGGCCAGAACAGTCATGTCAAGGGCCGGGACCGGAGTTTGCAGAATTCATCAAGCATTGACCTGCCAACGGCTTGCATTCCAGATTGTGTACTCGGCGTTTACTGTACCTCGCGCTGAGGCCGTAGCATCTTTGATTTGGCACTTTGGTGCCTCCATTGCACGTCGGGATTTGGCACCTCTGTGCGTGACAGGCGGTGACTCGGAACGCTGACAAGCATTCGAGTTCAAACGTCTGACAGACGCCCCGACATGCTGCTGTTGACGGGCACACACGCCTCCACAACCAAACGAAACCTACGACACCGTTCTGGAATGTTCTGTACGCAGTGATTTGCAAAAAGGATCCCGTTTGATCAGCGGTTTGCGAGTGATGCGACATCTTGAATCTTGAAGGCGGTATTTCGATATCATCAGCGTTTGCATCTCTGCACGGACTTGCAGGACATCAGTCAGTTGTCGGCCGTGCATGCTCCTTATTAGCCTTGTTATAGCAACATAGCAGTCAAAGATGCATGCGTTGCATTGCCAAGGCATTCTGGGCCATTTGGCGAGGTGCCGGATCCACGCTTTCTGCAGGACTGGCTCGCGGAGGGCTTGTGCCGACTGGTAAAGCAAGAGTTCGGTCGCGATGCGAGTCTGTCACGAGAGGCACGCTAACGCGAGAGCCGCCTCGGAGCTGGTCAGCGCTTCGCTAGTTTATGTGGGGTAGGGGGAGCCGGGAGGGGGGGCGGGGGTGAAGCATCCAAAGTATGGGACCCGAGCCCGAAACCGTGGAGTAACCATCGACATAACCGTCAAAATAACAGCTGCTCCTACCTACCCTCCCAATTGATTCAAAAAACTGTAGTTGTTTTCTGCCGTCTGTATGCAAACCCAGGAAGCCAGGCCGGCCTCCGGCACGACAGCAACAACAAAACACGCGCGTCGGGGACGACAGCGAAAAGAGAAACGCACCCCAGCAACGATAACCGAAAAAAGAAAACGCGCCCCGGGGATGACATTAAAAAAAAGCGTTCCCTCAACGGCAGCAAAACAAGAAAGACGCCCCCGAATGGTTCGTGGGTTGTTTGTTTTGCTGTCGTTGCGAGGACGTGTTTCTTTTGCTGTCGTCCCCGGGGCGCGCCCCTGCAACGACAGCAAAAGAACGACACTCGCAACAGAAGAAGTTCCTTCTAGGCTTGGGAGCGAGAAAGAGGGGGTGGGTACAGTGTAAGTACAGGTGATCCCAAGGATCGGATCGCTCCGGCCTCCGGCCTCGGCAGATGGTAGTCACAGGTACTAAGTTACTAGGAAAACGGCCGCAACCTCAAAGTCCTCGTCGGATAAAATCCTGAGAGCTGTCTCATGCATGGCGGCCCAGCAGGAGCTCCGTGTCCATCGTGAAGATCATCGTGAGATCTTCAGGCGCCAGAAAGCAAACTCATGACACTTCATACTTCATAGATATTCATAGATGCTGAGGTACGTGACAATGAACGTCTTTGAAGTCTCTGCGCGTACATATCTCCATCTATCGAGACCAACCTTCCTTAACACTCCACATGCATTGTCTTTGCAGCAACACTTCTGCGAATGGATCTGCCCAGCATATTGGCTGCGCGAGCCTGACATGTTTTACCAGCGAATGCACATGCGTGGCGGTTGTGGCATCAGGCGATGGTTTCGTGAGCATGCCATCAAGCAGAAGGCTATGCAACCGATCGCAGCATAGATGTGCATCTGTGACTGCGGTAAGCAAAAGTGAAAACTTTCAGACTCCGGCGGCTTCGTGAGGCACTGTGGAACATGCTGTGGAACATGTATGAACATGTTGTGTGCGCTTGCCACGATTTGTTTGAGCGAGAACACCTGATCAGCAAGCAAGGAACTCGATGCACATGTTATTGCAAACGATGGTCTGGCTCGTCGGCGGGCCAGGAGCAGCTAGAAATTATCAGAAGAATTGACACCATTTGCTCTAGACTCTAGCTTCTGGACGGATGAGACCTACAGGCTATAGATCCGGTGACGGCCCCACCATGTCTGTGAGCAGCCTTTGGCTATCTGTCCGCACACGCTAGCAAGCGACCAAGTGCTCTGCGCCGATCGAGACAAAGATAGCCCGTGCAGCCTCCTAAGGCCCTACCGCCCTACTGGTAGTAAGCGAGCATGCGAGACTCGAAGCTTGGCATGGCCGTGACATGCTTCATTCATGACGCCTGACCCTTACCGGCGCCCGGTTCGCCCCACTCGCTCAAGCTAAGCTGACAGTGTCAGCAAAGAGACGTGGTGTGCAGGGCTTCTGTGAGAAATACTTGGAATCTTGACTGGACATTGCACGACGCGGGGAATCAAAAGATGCGCGCATCGAGGCACCCCGAAGGCGACAGAGTGGATGGGATGAAGAGCGTCTGCGGCTTAGAGAGCCTCTTTAAGCAGCAGCTGGAGATCATTCATGGACAGGTCAGCTCTGAATGGGTGCTCCCCCTCACTGTCGCCGGCCTCCCAGTCTGTCACAGCCTGCGCACCCAGCCAACGGACTGACCTGATGCAGCTGCAAGATTCTGCAGGATGCAAGGCAGTTGCTGGTAAGCGCCAGGCTGCTAGCAACTGATGGTGACTGGCACTGTAGAGCTTCAAGGACCGCAGACACAACACTCGTCGCATAATTGTCAGTGCTTTGTCTCGTCCACCTTGGTCCGGGCCGCGTTGGCCGGAGACGGAGGGGAAAAATGTCCTCAACACATCCATTACACTGCGAAATCCAATGGGAGTCATCGAATGTCACCATGCGAACGATCGAGAGGGGCTTGGCCTGGGGATGAATACAAAGGTGGTGGACAGTGGATAGGGCATCAATGTGGGAAGCCCTCACCGCTGCGTACAGGGGTCGAGGCGAAGTCTTCATTCACTATATGCATATCAACGACAAGCAAGGCAAGATAACGGTACATCAAGACCAGGCTTGAGCTTGTCAGGGTTGATCTTCACGAATCCCGACAAGTTTAGTTCCTGCATGATGATTTTGTTCAGCACATTGCCACTGTGCGCCTCTAAGGCCTGTTTCTGGCCGGGGGCTGCCACTCAGACTTTTACATCAACCACACAGACAACTGTTACATCCACCGTGCCCAAAGAGTCAGTGCTTCTCGGGATGCATTTGGGCAAACGGCTCGCTCATGAAGGTACCACCTTACCAGTATTTCCAGGGCGACTGGTCGGCATGCTCGGCTACCTGTGCCGTGGGCACACGCACTCGAGAGGCGCCGCGCAATAGGATCGTGTTTTCTCGCTGAATGCTGGTGCGCTTGCCGCAGGTTTTCTGCTACGAGACCTGCAGTGTTCCTCAATTCTGCACTGTCGCAGAGGAGAGATGTCTGTTCCTGAGGGCTACGGGTGGAGACGTCAGGCAGCGACCGGTTACAGCAAAGCGATAAAAGCTGATGAGGTGCAGGTATCACCAAACCACTTAGCTTCGACTACTGCTGGCCACCGGTAGCGTCCTGTCCAGCTTCCTTCTCAGTCGAACTGCCTTGATCTGTCACGGTCGGACTTGAAGATGCCTAGATGTGGATTGAACAGCGGTGATGGACACTCAGCCAAGGACTCAACAACCATGTCTTCCACAACCAGTCTCACGAGCACACGTTCCACGAATACGCAAACGGCGGCTTCCTAATTTGCAAGTGGCGTGTTGTCGGAAAGTCATCTTATGGCAGGAAGTAGATGCGAGCGTGTAGCAAAGAGCTGCAGAGTTTCCGTGAGTTTGATTGAAGTGCTGCGTTGCTCTGTGGTGAGATCACGCAAGTCACAAGGCCACATCAAGAACTACAACGCAAAGGGTACGGACCGGCTGGCTCTGTGCCCAAGCCTCACATGCCACCAGAGCGTCCCATGTTGACGCCGGCTACGCTGTTTCTTGTAGGGGAAGTGTGTACCAGTGTGTAAAACGATGACCAGTATGGTATTTACTTTCTGGTAATGACAAACTGATAGTTTCGCTGTTGGCTGGTTCCTTCCAACGGAGGAGCGAAGCCAAGAACCCAACATATGCGGCCTGCGAGTGACTGTAGCAGTTTAGCAGATTGTGCACCTCGGTTGAGGCCTGCTATGGTTTTAAGCTCATAATTCAATGTCGGCAACCCAAGCGTGTAACGCAAGCGTGTGCTCGCGCGAAGTGCGGGCAGAGACTGACGGTCGCTTCACGGGGGTGGGGCGGGCGGAAGAGAGGTAGCACACCGGCCGCGGCCACCCGGGGCTCATCGGGGCTCACGTCCAGTGCGAGAATGCTGGGCTGCTGGACTGGGGCGGGAAGGGCTGGCACAGGAACCTGTACGTTGACAAGGGAATTGCAGCCGGTGGTGATCCCCGCCTGCAAGCACATTCGAGGGCTGTTACAGTCAAAGCTATAGTCAACCACAGCCGAGCACGAATACACATGTACACTGCATTGCACACCTGCTCAGGTGCACGACGCTTCGACTGGATGTGTGGCCGCCTCCATTGCCAGGGGCATAGTGCAATTGGGCGTGCAGTGTGATTCGGAGCTGCAGGTCTGAGCCTATCTCAGCTTTCATTTGATCTTCGCTTCGCTCCCTTCCCTCCTGTGTAGCTCCTGCGGGGCGTGTTGCGTGGGAGTGGGACGGCCGCAGCAGTCACTCTGGGCTGGCATGCAGAGGGGTCACTGCATCGGGACATGAAGGGCTTTCCAGGTCGTTCCTGCCTTCCGCGTGAAATCGGCTTTTGGCGCTCGTATCGAAGGTCGTCTATCGATTAGTGATTAGTGGAAAGAAATGAGTCGTTGCTGTGAGACTTGTGTCACAGAACGAGCAGAGAAAGCATGCCCAGTGCCCAGGCTCAAGTGCAGTGTGGATCGAGCTGCCCATGCTGCAAGCGCTCGGGCATCCAGGAGACTTGCCAGCAAACCACATGCATAGCACAAAGCCTTGCATGAGTTTGGCGCTGCACCGAGTCCACCACGCCACGACCTTTTCAGCCCTCAGCCGCTCAGACGCAGTGGGCTGTGGCCAGGGTCAGGCAAAGAGCAGGCAGGCCTAGACCGAGACCGGCATCATCCGGCAACAGTGTCTTCGGTCAGCGTGGTCAGCATCAGGATGGCGGGAACGAGGTGCTGGCGGCCTAAGTCTCCGAAAAGGAGACATGCTGAAGCCAGTGCGTTCAATTTCAAGCCTAGGTCGGCAGCTGTTGTTATCACAGTTACCTTGACGTCGGCCATGTGCTTAGCTCGACAAATTGTATCGCTGTGAGCACTGAAAGCGATTGACGCGGCCCGCCTGTCGGGGCAGCTTAAGTGCTGTAACCACGGCAAGCCACAGCCAGGGGATGCCGTTCAATCTACTTACAGTACGATCTTCCAGGGGACCGGGGCGCCAGTCAGGGGGCACCGCTTAGTTTAAGGCGTGGCTTCGATTCGATGAAAGAGCTTGGGGCTTCGTTTGACGTGGTCGCCAGTCGGGGTAGTAGGGATCAATAAAGCCACTAAAACGGGATCAATAAAACAGGAAAAGGGATCAACAAACGATCAGTTAAAAACTGATCAGCACTGCGATTGCTGTTATTACTAGTACTACTATGTTATAACTACGCTTCTTCTTTCTATTATTCTGCCATTATGTCTATTGTTACCATTATCACTGTTGTTACTGCCCCCCCCCCCGTGCTCCTTTTTTGGAGCCGTGCAAGCTTCCTTTAATATCAAGGAACATCGTGCCATCCTGCGGCCCACAGCCCCGTCCGCTCTTTACTACCAGTATCTACGAGTAGTACTGGTACTGACTGCTGCGGCTTCTACTACTACTACTACTACTACAGCTGCTGCTGCTGCTACTACTACTACTACTACTACTACCACTTCTTTTACCTGTGCTACTACGACTACTTCTTTTACTTCTGCTACCACTGCTGCTGCGGCTTCCACTACTACTACTACTACTACTACTTCTACTACTACTACTACTACTACTACTACTACCACTACTACTACTACCACCACCACCACCACCACCACGACTACTACTACCACGACTAATATCACGACTACTACTACCACGACGACGACGACGACGACGACGACTACTACTACTACTACTTCTGCTACTACTCCTGTTACGAATACGAATACTAAAACTAATACTAATACTACTACTACTGCTGTTAGTATCTACTACTACTGCTACTACTACTACTACTACTACCACTACTACTACTACTACTACTACTACTACTACTACTAGTATTACTATCTGCTACTACTACTACTACTACTACTACTACTACTGCTACTACTCCTACTATTAC